TACTACTAGAACATCACATCTCAAATATACCTCAACCATTCAACCATCTATTACTTACACTACTAGAACATCACATCTCAAATATACCTCAACCATCTATTACTTATACTACTAGAACACCACATCTCAAATATACCTCAACCATCTATTACTTATACTACTAGAACACCACATCTCAAATATACCTCAACCATCTATTACTTATACTACTAGAACACCACATCTCAAATATACCCCAACCATCTATTACTTACACTACTAGAACATCACATCTCAAATATACCTCAACCATCTATTACTTATACTACTAGAACACCACATCTCAAATATACCTCAACCATTCAACCATCTATTACTTATACTACTAGAACACCACATCTCTAATATACCTCAACCATCTATTACTTACATTACTAGAACATCACATCTCAAATATACCTCAACCATCTATTACTTATACTACTAGAACACCACATCTCAAATATACCCCAACCATCTATTACTTATACTACTAGAACACCACATCTCAAATATACCTCAACCATTCAACCATCTATTACTTATACTACTAGAACACCACATCTCAAATATACCTCAACCATTCAACCATCTATTACTTATACTACTAGAACATCACATCTCAAATATACCTCAACCATTCAACCATCTATTACTTATACTACTAGAACATCACATCTCAAATATACCTCAACCATTCAATCATATATTACTTATACTACTAGAACACCACATCTCAAATATACCTCAACCATTCAACCATCTATTACTTATACTACTAGAACACCACATCTCAAATATACCTCAACCATTCAATCATATATTACTTATACTACTAGAACACCACATCTCAAATATACCTCAACCATTCAACCATCTATTACTTATACTACTAGAACACCACATCTCAAATATACCTCAACCATTCAACCATCTATTACTTATACTACTAGAACACCACATCTCAAATATACCCCAACCATCTATTACTTATACTACTATAACACCACATCTCAAATATACCTCAACCATTCAACCATCTATTACTTATACTACTAGAACACCACATCTCTAATATACCTCAACCATTCAACCATCTATTACTTATACTACTAGAACACCACATCTCAAATATACCTCAACCATTCAACCATCTATTACTTATACTACTAGAACATCACATCTCAAATGGGTATCTCAATGAGTTATTGAAATTGCTGACAATACTTAGTGAATATATACAATACAATTTCGAGACTATTCAGCTGTGCAAATTGGGAGACTGACAAAAACGTTCCTCTTTCATATGGGAATCACATTGGAATGATGCATTGAGGTCCCATATACTGCAAGCTACAGATCAAAACTGTCAATGTTGCTGTCCTATCAAAAATTCTCTTCCTTGCAATTTGTTAGCTTATCAAGATGCAGAATTTTTTTTAAAGCATAATATTTATTTCAAGATAACATATTGAATGAATTGATCTTGAAATGCAGCTCTTCCAATGGTACACGTGCCTCAATGTTATAATCTCTATGTAAATCTATCCACAGTTTAAATAGGATGCTCTCCATTAACCTCTTCATCATAATCTTGTCTTTTAGAAATCTGTGGGATTATTTGAAATTCAAAATCTGTGGTTTCATTAAAAAAACATTGGCCTCAATTAGCATCCATATCCTACTGATAACAAAAAACCAATACAACTCTTTCACTCTTCTTGGACATTATCTTTTCATTTTTGACAAAGTCTAATTAGATGTTAAAACTGATTCTGAAGAATAATGACTTCAAAATTTCCTTTAAACCAAGATAACTAACCAAGAACTTTTATTCAAATTTTGTAAGAATTAAAATATCCATCTATTCTGGCCTCCTGAACAGTTATCTAGTATTTTAAAATCAAACATCAATAAAACTTGTTACAATCTGTTAGCTTATTCATCTCAATCAGGGATCACTTTTTTTACCCATATGATTAATATATAAATTCTGAATAATTATTTTACTAAATCACCACAATAGACATGTCCACAAATCAGTCCAAGTCCAAGACCCTAAAAAATCAACAAGATAGATATGACCATGCATCATGTAACTTTCAAGATGAAAAAGAGTGAAAAAAACCAGGTGTCTGTTAAATGAGTGAGCTCAGTTCACTGCACCTAACAAAACAGCATTTTAATCATAGCTCTTTGTGCAGAATCTTATTTCATGTCTGAATTTGAATGAATATTAAATGAAAACTGGAAATGAAATATGATGGATTATATTCATAATTATGACCAAGTTTCATCTTTAACACAAGAGAGTTTGAATACAAAGAAAGACTACAAGATGGTTGAACAATATTTGTTTGAATTGTTAATTGAATAATGTAACCTTTCCACCTCCATGTCTCTTTCTTTGTGTAACTTATTAGTTTGAGCTGAAAACATTTTCTTCTAATTTCAAATTTGACAGCAACACACAAAGCAAGTCACACCTAGGGCAAATATCAAAACTGATTCTCTATGGTGAGTATCTATAACTCATAGAAAGTTTTAAATACAAAGTAAGTTTGCCAAAAAAGGTTATCGCTGCTTGTCCTGTGTGTGAGGCTGCTTGTCTAAAAGGGTAAGGAACTGTTGGTCTTAAGAAATTATGTCGGTAAATCATCCTCATAAGTCACAAGTCATCAATGCCTGAGAGCAATCCAAGTTAAAATGAGGCGAAGTGGGATCTGGGTGGATAATTGAAAAAAGACACTTCTAAAGTTTGGTTGTAGTATTAAAAGTGACACAATAGTCTCAATCAGGCAACAGTCTTGTTTTATTGTTGTTGATACTTAATGTTGATAAATAAACAGATAATAAAGAGAGTCAATAAAAATGTGTAAGCTATGATAAAGGTCAGATAAAAGTAAATAATAATAATATTATTATCTCATCAAATAATTACAACAGTTAGCTAGAAATTAGTTAGTTTGACCTTTATCAGCTGTCTATATCTACTATTATAAACTTATTATACTAATCATTTTATCACAGCATCAACTCTTTTCACATAATACTTTAAATATAAATTGTTTAAATGTTCGTTTAAATACATGTAACAGTAAAATAATGATGTAAGGTGGGAAACCTGTAAGTTTCTTCTTCAAAAATATTAACAATATCACCAGATCTTATATCTAAATATGATATTAGGTCAAAAAGAGTATAACCTTTGAAAACAACCAAAATATGAACATAAAAATCACTAAGCAAATCAAATGCAACTGTGCAACTGAAACTTTAAGATAAACAGAAATATATTCTTATTACTGAGATTGTATTGTAAACTTGGTCTGGATATTTGAGAGTTGCTTTGCTATACAAGGGTTTATATTAAATCATGAGAAGGATGAGTAACAGTATTGTATTTAACAATAATGAACAATGTTGCAATAAAAGATATGCATATTATTTGTATTAAGACAGGTAAATTATCTATTTTTAGTTGTTAGATTTACTTTTATCTCTCAAAAACTAAGGTAGCTTGTGCCAATTCATTACTGTATCAGGGAAAGTCTGAATATCTGGTTTGTAAAAAAATGTAGATAAGAAACATTGAAATGTTATGATTCCAGTAATTGTTATAATTATAACAATTCTAGAAGCTAATTTAGAAATGTTGACACGAAGTTACCAGCCAATTAAAAATTAAAACAAGAGAAATACATAACACTTCACTTTATTTGAATTCCAGTATGATTGGAATCAAACAGGTGAATAATAAAATAGTCCTGATTCCTGATAGTCTGAGACTAGGGTGGAAATATCTGATTGTATTCCAAGCCTTATACTATCAATCACCGCTGTCATTCTGGTATTTATACAGTAAACTATACTCTAGTTTCTCCCTTACAATAGCTGTCAAACTTCTAAACTTGGTCAGACTAAAGACTTGAAGGGATCTTTTCATCTAAAAATCGTGGGTTTTTTTCCATGGCAGTAACACTTATCAGAATATCTGATGTCTTGTTTGTCTACAAATGAATAACAACAAGCTGCTGTATCAAACTAAGATTAAACAGATTTAACTTTTATTCTCTGAACTTTATCATCAGATAGAACTTTCTGCATTACCCTATTGTAAGTCAAAAATAAGAGAATATCATAATCAATGATTTGATATATGCCTGGGTTAGATAGATATGTTTTAGCATCCTTGATCCTACTGACAGCATAAATCATTAAATCACACATTAAATCATGACATTATACTGATATCATATTGATCATATAAAACACAATAAACAACAATTTCAAAACATATTTACTAGGACAAATTTGATTAATTTTTCCACCCAAATTTCAAGCAACATGCAACTTAATCTCCAGGTCTAATTTAATCAAAACTGTAGTATCTGGTGGCTTTAATATAAAATTTTAAAAATATTATAGCAATATGCATTTGGTGCATCCAATCTAATGTAGCATGTATTAACAAAGCATGAATCAAGTTTTTTTTTATAGCTATCCCTTGTTAATTCACGTCAAGTTTCTCTGGCAGTTTGATAAGAGAATTATATTGTGTAACAATTATTATTCAACCAATAAAATTGATGTTTTCAATTAGTGTCAATCAATAACTTAATCATCTGTAGACAACAATATATCTCAATATTACTATTTTATACCAAAATACATCAACAATTCTAATCTTTACCATGTTACAATAGATTACTACAGTGTCAGTATTTTAATTATTCCATATTTAACAATTGTAATGATCAATTCTATAACATTATTCCAGTCATTTAGGTACGATATATTCAATAGCCCCTTTCAGATATTGTGTTATTGTAATCAAGATTAATAAAATTTGCTATAAAATCAAACCCAATGCCCTCTCTAGACACATTATAGTTGTAAGTGAAGACAATGCAAGTGATCAAATCAATCAGTGATCAATATCTGATCAGTATTAATATCTGTATTAATATAAAATATCAATTAAACAGTCTGAAGAATATTCAACTTATTGCCCTCTACTGTCCACATGTGATTTCAAACCAGTTATATTTACTGCAGTGAACTTAAAGACAGGGGAAGGAGACCATTCTGTTAACTCTCTCTCAGTATTGGCAAGGGCATCCAAAAGTTTTAAATTCTTTTTGTACAGCACCTCTCCTGAGCAGATTATAATCAAATCCATAATGATTTTACACACACCATCTCCTATATTGAAGGTTTTCAAGCAAACAAGACACATTTTGAAGTTGCTCAAGTACAATAAGCTTACTGACAAGATTGGAAACATCATCTCAATTTGCGATATGCCCTGCCTTCAGTTACATTGCATTTTGTGTTTTTTTTTCCTCTAATCAAATTGTGTCATATTAACAGGTCACTGAAAGTAACACAACACAGCTTTGTGAAAATTGTTTTATAAAAAGCTGAAAACAAAACAAAAGGAAGGGTATAAAAAAGTGTGGCCTTGAGAAAAAAACAAGCCAATTACATTATCAGATAATCTATTGAAAATTTACCTAAATAAATTACCTCATAATTAGAAAAGAATCGATTGTTTTACAGAAGAAAATGAATACAGATCATTTGAAGATAGTTTGACACTCTGAGACTACTGTTTAATTATTTATTATGAAGCAGCAAATAATTACTTTAAAAACTGATTAATGTTTTCAAAATGTATCCAAGTGGAAAAGGCTGCAATTATTCATCAGAGCACAATTATCACTAGTAGCAGACGGGTTAAGAAGGCTAAAAATGCTTTTAATTTATTAAATTGAGAACCACACAAAAAGTTGTTATTTTTCTATCAGACACACACCAAAATCCTAACTTACAGAACTTCAGTGGGGAAAACACGTTGCAGTGTTATTATAAATAAAAAAATATACCTTACACTTGGCCAACTCTCACAAGAACTGATCATGAAGTCTGAAGGGAGTGGGAATGCTCATTACTAAGAAAAGTTGACAACCCTTTAAGATGGGAAAAGATGA